GCACTGATGTACCAAGAGTAGCACACCACATTGGATGTAGTGCAAAGAGAAGGTAACCTTTCTCGTGGAGAAAAATACACACGCAAAAACACACACACATACACAAACGTATATGTACACAAGTTTCATCCTTAAATAACATGTTAGGAATCTCTTATATCTCATATAAGGGCATAATGAATCAGGGGAAAGTACAACAATCTTTACACATGTTCTCTATGAAACCTTTTTTGGATCACTTTTAGTGGATTATTCATAACAAGCAATAAAAAATAAATGATTTAAGTCCTGCTCTAGGGGCAGGTTTTGGGGGTCAGCATGGAAACATTCAAAATATGGTGGTGGGAGAGTGTAATGGTGGTGGAAATGGAGCTGGAATATTAAATTTAATAAATTATTATGAACAAAGTTATAAAAATTAAGTTACATTAAAAAATAAGGTAAAAGGTAAAGGTAAAGGCCCTCCCGTTTTTAAAAAATTTTCTGGTTGTGCGGTTGGAGTAAGGAGGCTCTGCCATTGTTTCTGAGTTAAAACACATGTGTTAACCAGGTTAATATTCTGGGCTACCCCCGTTCCAGTCAATTATAAGGACAGTTGAGACCTAGCAGGGAGTTGAACCCATAACAAAGAAATAGGTCCAACACTTCCGAAATTCATATGAAACAATACACCTTACGACTAATTACAGCAATTATTCGGGAAAAGATGTGAAGCATCACTTTCCCCAATTTCAAACTGTAGGACAAAATCGTAGGAATTAAAGGAGTATGATATTGAAAAAAGGCAAACCCCAGATCCATGATATAGAGATGAAAATCCGGACAGAGACCCTGACATGTATGATCATTTAACCTCTGAGTAAGGAGTAAGAAATATGAACTGGAGCAAGGAAAGCCGATTCAAGAGGTGGTGCTGGGTAAACTGGGCATCTACATGTAAAAAGAAATAAAAAAGAACTCAGACCTTTCTCTAACACCATGCACAAAAGTCAGATCAAAGTGGATTAAAAACCTCAACCTCAGACTTGAATTCATAAGTCACATTGAGGAAAACATAGGCAAAAGCCTCAATGACCATGAAGCTAAAGGCACCTTCAAACATAAAACACCACAGACCAAGCAAGTGGAAGCCGAGATAGACAAATGGGACTTAGTTAAACTAGAATTTTCTGCACATAAAAAGAAACTGTGCCCCGAGATGCAGAGACATACCACAGAATTAGAAAAATATTTAGGCATTGCCCATCTGAAAACTGGTTAATAGCAAAGATATATAATGCACTGGGCTGGAGCAATACCACAGCAAGTAGGTTGTTTGCCTTGCGCATGACCGACCCGGGTTCGATTCCTTCGTCCTTGGAGAGCCCAGCAAGCTACTGAGAGTATCCCACTCACAAAGTAGATCCTGGAAAGCTACCTGTGGCGTATTTCATATGCCCAAAACAGTAACAAGTCTCACAATGTAGACATTACTGGTGCCTGCTCGAGGAAATAGATGAACAACAGGAAGACAGTGCTACAGTGTATATAATGCACTGTAGAGCATTACAAAAAAGTCATCCAATCTGATCAAAAATGGCGAGGGGAAAAATAAGTAGAAAACTTTCTCAAAGAAAAAACTCAAATGGCCAAATGGCACATGAAAAAGCAGTCTACATCACCAATCACAAGGGAGATACAAATCAAGGAACAAGAGATACAATCTCACAACACAGAGAATTGCACACATCCAAAAGAACAAGAACAACCAGTTCTGGCATGGATGTGGGGATAGGGGAGAAAAGGGTTCTCATTCATCATGGGAATGCCGACTGGTTGAGCCTTTTTGGAAAACAATATGGACTTTCCTCGAAAAACTAGATTTGATCCACAGTATCACCCTGGGGGTCCAAAACATATAGCAGAAATGCCATCTGCATTTCTATGTTCATTGCAGCACTATTCACAATAGCCAGAATCTGGAAACAACCCAAATGCCCGAGAAGAGATGACTGGTTAAGGAAACCATGGTACATTTACACAATGGAATACTATGCAGCCACTAGGAAAACTGACGTGAGGAAATTTGCTTGCAAATGGATGGACATGGACCGTATCTTGCTGTGTGAATGAGTCAGAAGTCAAGGGACAGACATAGAATGACTGCATTCATTTGTGCGATATTAAAAAAAAATAGCATGAGATAATATCCAAGCCAGGAAAAACAGGAGCCAGAAGAACTTCCTCATGGTTTGAAGCCAACCAAATGTGTGTGGGGGGCAAAGGGCAGTTAGGATAGAGAAGAGACCAGTAGGACAATAGTAGATGGAATAGATCACTTTGGGCACGAACTGAGTATTTAAAGTGGGTAAAGGGATATACCTACTATAGAGATAGTAGATATAGATATAGAGAGTATTGGATATGCCAGACACAGTAACAACAAAGTCTCCAATGGAGACGTTACTGGGCCCGCTCGAGAAAATCGACGATCAACGGGAGGGCCTTTACTTTTAAAGGGATATACCTATAACCTTTCAGTATCTTTCTTGCAAACCGTAATTCCACAATGAGACATACCCAGACACAGAGAGATATACAGAGAGAGAGAAAGAGAGAGGAAGGGGAGTAGAATAGTGCCTGCCATTGAGACAGCTAGACTGAGGAAGGGCAAGAGAGAAACTGGGCACATTGGTGGTGGTAAATGTACCCTGGTTAAGGGATGGGTGTTGAAACATTATATGTTTGAAAAAACCAATCATGAGCAACTTTTTAATTGTGTATCTCACTGTGGTTCAATTCAAAATAAATAAGTTTAATTTTCTTAAAATGAAGGATATCTAATAATTAAGTAAAAATGATATCATCCAAATATGGAAAATCTATATTTTTCTTTGACTTGGGGAACACACCTGAAGTACTATATGTTTACTTCCTATCTGTGTCCTGGTTCCACCTGTAGTGCTCAGGTATCAATGAGTGGTCCTGGAAAATGATCTTGGAACACTTACATGGAGAGCATTTCAATGAACCTGTCCACATTGCTATTATGAACAAAATTAAAAGCTACCTCTTTCATCCATGATTGTCTAACAATGAAAAAACAAAAAAATGATGATCTGGGCTATCATTCATTTCTAATTAACTTCTTACCATCTTTCTAATCAATTCCAAATGATAAATAAGGATGTTTTTAGTATACATCTTTAAGAGTGAAACACCTACAAAATTTGTCAAGAAGCATTTAAAATAGAAGTGAACCTTACTTAATATGCTGAGAATAAATTTTTAAAAAATTTATAAAATCTACAGTCAAAGTTGGTGGTTGGAAACAAGTTTTTATAGATTCAAGACTGTTCCCTGTTGTCTAGTGTTGTATCTTTAGGAATTAGTCCCATCACTGAGCATCTCCTCATCCTCTCCAGACTATATCTGAGGTCTGGGGGTCCAGCTCCCCTGAAAACTGCTGCCAGTGGTGGCGAGACAGTGCAGGTGGGGTCAGATCTGTGAGGATTCACATTCCTGGGCTTGCAGGAGCTCTGGGACAGAGCCATGGCGAGCCATGGGCTTTATTTAGAGAACGTTTATTAATCCTGTTAGAGCCATCATGTACATGAAGTAGAATATTCATCTGCCTCAATATACATGTTGCCTGAGTTTGTTTGTCTATCTCCGTGGTTATTTTTGGTAGAATCTTGTTGAACTTGCTGGGTGTTTTAATAACTTTTGATGTTTAACGCTATTTTTTTCTTTTTGGGTCGCATCTGGTGATGCACTGGTGTTACTCCTGGCTCATGCACTCAGGAATTACTCCTACCGCTGCTTGGGAGACCATATGGGATGCTGGGAATCGAAACCAGGACAACTGAGTGCAAGGCAAATGCCCTACCCTCTGTGCTATCGCTCTAGCCCCAAATGCTGACTTTTTAAAACATCCAATTATAAAGCACAGTTTCTGGTTCCTTAGATTTAATTCAACCCTCTGGTCTCCATGGAATTAGGGGTACACTTATGTGACACAGACTATGGCTAGGTTTCATCCATTTGGGGGCAGAGTAGGACCTCATGTGTCAGTACTCAGGGCTTGCACACTGTACATTTGTAGCATGTGTGAGTCTCTACACAAAGACCAAAACTCTGGCCCAATAGATTGTGTTCTGAGGACCCTTTAGTGGGTCTTTCTAAGCATCAAACATGGGTTTGGATTCTTCAGTGATAAATCCCAAGAATAGGGTCCTGAGGTTCAAAATCATCTTTTGGACACTGAGATGTACACAGTACTGGCCAGGTTTAGGTGCTATTGTCCCGGCCAACCACACCAGGAAGGTCACCTAGGCAGAAGCATCTTCCTTGTCGCATTACAAAACCATTATCAGTGAAAAAAATATCCACCCTAATAACTACCTTGAAATTAGAAAGTGATGCTGCTTCAGGGGAAGGAATGTTCATGGAAGATGAGAGAGTAAATAGAGTGAAAATTGGTTAACCATGGTTTTGATGGAGCCAAGTTAGAATTTCCTATGACAGTTACACTGCCTGTTTGGTCCCAGGTTTTCCATCTGCAGTGGAAGAACATTAGCCACCACCGAGAAACATGGAGGGGCAGCGGCCTGTCTACAGGGTAGAGGCACTGGAGAGATGGGTTTGGTCATCAGGGACCTGAGACACGGGGACTCTCCTCCCCAGATGCCATTACCCCCTCAGCAATTCCTGTTTCCTGAGGCTTGGCAGCACGTTTCTTGTGCGGGAGGAAAAGGCCTGGCTCTCACAGGGCCCCAGGGACAGGCCTGAGTGCTCTGAGCCACAGTCAGCACCTCCTCCCAGGGAGCCAACATAACAGCCTGCTCTGGGTTCCCTCCTTCCTCTACAGAGGCTACCTCATGCAAATCTGTACTCGGGACCCAGGATTAAAACCACGTTCACACTGACCCCATATCGGGCTCCCTCTCCTCCTGACAGTGTCTGAGATCATGGACCTCGTGGCCAGGAACGTGCATCAGCGCTGGTTCCTCTTCTTTCTGGTGGCAGCTCCTGGATGTGAGTATCCCCTGGACAGAGGCTCCAAGCTGGGCATGGGGCCTTTGAGCCCGTAACTCATTGTGGATTTTTGTCCCCAGGTGTCCTGTCCCAGGTACAGCTGCAGGAGTCGGGACCAAGCCTGGTGACGCCCTCGCAGACGCTGTCCCTCACCTGCTCGGTCGCTGGGTTCTCGCTAACAGACTATAGTATAAACTGGGTCCGCCAAGCCCCTGGAAAGGGCCTGGATTGGATTGGTGGTATACGGTATGATGGAAACACATACTATAAGCCAAGTCTTCAGTCCCGACTCAGTATGACCAGGGACACGTCCCAGAACCAGGTTTACCTAAAACTGAGCAACTCAGTAACTGAGGACACAGCCATGTATTATTGTACAAGAGACACAATGAGGGCAAGTCCCTGTGAGCCCAGACACAAACCTGCTGAGGGAGACAGGGGAGCTGCAGGGGTGCATGCGACCACCAGGGGGCACTCTGCCCCTGGGCTGTGTCCATGAGCAGGTGGGACACTTCTTTCTTTTATAAATTTTTTTTTCATGATACAGTTACTACTGTATCACTCTCTTTCTCTGTCTTTGTCTCTGTCTCTGTATCTCTGTCTCTCTCTGTCTCTGTCTCTCTCTCTTGGCATTGTGGTTTGCAGTAAAGGTACTGACTCTTCATTCTTTTACAACTTTTTTCCCCTTTTTGGGAGATGATTTTCTTTTCTTTTTATTGAAATATGTCAATAAAGTGGTTACATTCTTTTATTTCTTCTTTCTTTTTTAAATTTTATCTTTATGATAGTTATTTTTGTATCACTGTGAGATGATCACTGTGAGATGTATCACTTCGCAAAGATGTTCATACTTAGGTTTTAGTCATACAGTGTTCTAACACCCTTCCCTCCACCATGGACATTTCCAGTTTCCTGCCCATCACTGCCCATACCTTAGCCCCTCCACCCTGCTGCCTACCTCTATGGCAGACTTTTAAAAAAAATGCTTTTTGCGCCACACCCAGCGATGCTCAGGGATTACTCCTGGCTCTGTACTCAGGAATTACTTCTGGCGGTGCTTAGGGGACCCTATGGGATGCCAGGAATCAAATCTGGGTCAGTCACGTGCAAGGAAAACGCCCTACCCGCTGTACTGTAGCTCCGGCCCCTATGGCAGGCACTTTTCTTCTCTCTCTCTCTGTCTCTGTCTCTCTCTCTGTCTCTGTCTCTGTCTCTGTCTCTCTCTCTGTCTCTTTGTCTCTGTCTGTCTTTGTCTCTGCCTCTATCTCTGTCTCTCTCTCTCAGCATTGTGGTTTGCAGTAAAGATTCTGAATCTTCATTCTTTTACAACTCTTTTTTCCCCTTTTTGGGAGGTAATTTTCCTTTCTTTTTATTGAAATATGCTAAACAATTTTAATAAACCAAGCATGTTAATTTTACTTATTACTTTCATTTCTAGTACAAAATTGTTTTTTATTCTATCTCGTGTTCAAATTACCTTAGAGACTGTTATATCCCATTACGTCAGGTGTGGTTAATTTTTCTTCAAAAAGGTCATTACTTTTCACAAAAAGGGATTTCTCTCATTACTTTCTTTTTTGTCACTGAGGGAACACAATGACAATAGTCTGAGTGTTGATGCTGGTGGGTCCCAAACTCCCTGCACTTCTCCCAGCACCAAATCCCCACAGACCCCCACACTCTGCTGTTGCCCCTGTGCTGATCTCCTCTTCCCAGTGATCTGAGCCACCACCTGACTCCTCTCAGGAACCCCAGAGTGTGGTTAGGATTCAGGGGCCATTATTATGGATCCTGTCCATCCTGACGCTCTGTTCTCTGTGTACCAGGGACGAATGAGGTCATCCGCATTTTTCCTTCTCCCAGACTTACTTCATTTAATGTGGTATTTTTGACTTCCATCCATGTTGCAACAAACTGTGATAATTCTTTTTTTCTGTAGCTGCATAGTACCCACTGTAAAAACACCACAACTTCTTATCCATGAAGCTGACATTAAGCACTAGTATTATTTCCATATCCTGGCCAGTATATCAAATGTTGCACTGAAATTATGTTTCTTTATATATTCTCAAATTGATGTTTTTACATTTTGGCAATGTTGCTAAAAGTGGAATCATTGGGTTACATGGTGTTAAGCTCAGGATTCTGGGTGCCCAAGCGGAAGGATGGACAGAGACATGAACACAATAATGCAAAAGCAGTCGGAGTTTTATTCCAGTATACTGGGCTCAACTATCTCACCCACAGGGTGGTTTCTTGATAACGACCACGGCTTTAGGCAGCAAGAAGTTTATAAAGGTTTAATGACATAAGCAGTATATGCCTTATTGTTTCAAAAAGAACCTTACTTAGTTACAAGACAAAGGTGTTTTTGGCAAGTGTCTAGGGTAACAGTAGTTAGGCAGCAATTAAACAATAATTTCCAGTATCAGTACCAATTTTATGATTACATAGACTTATCCCTTTAGGGTTAGCAAAAAGCAACTTCTGGAGCATTGTGAGAACTCATTAATTGAGACCACTTACTGAGCCCAGGAACTTTCCCAGGTGGGTTCAAGTTCACTAGTTTCGCATTGTTTTATTGCTGGGAAACTGAATCTGTTACAGTTCCAGGAACTGAACCTGAGGCCAACCTGATTTTTCTCATTTCTGCCACCTGTCATGGCGTCAGTTTCTCCCTTACAATGGAAAGTCTATTTTCACTTTTTATAGAAATTTCCTAGTATTTTGCATAGACAATAAATGAGACAACATTCCAACAAGTTAGAAACATATGCAGGTAGCCTAACTGTCATGAAGAATTAGGATATTTTCCATGTTCTGCCATTAAACACTACAACAAGCACATGTTCACATATATCTTCTCAAATTAAGCTATTCAGGTCTGGGTGTAGTTATCCAAGCAAAAACACTTAGTCATATAGAAACTATTTTTTATTAAAATCTTTATTTAATCGCCAATAATCACAAAGTCAGAAAACTATACATACTGTGTGAACTTTGTTTTAACTATTTTTTTTATAAATATCCTTACTATTTTTCATTGAAGTCGAACCAAACATTGACATTCTAAACCAACCTTGAAACCACATTCCTCTCTGGGGACATCCCAGCCCACACTGGTTGTTTCCAGTCTCGATATTGGCTATTCTGCTGGGATGAGAAGATCCACCACTGTCTTTCTGATTGACATTTCCCTGACAGTCAGTGCTAGTAAACACTGTATATGCCTACAGTACACAGGGACGTCACCTCCAGGGAAGTCTCTCTGTGTGTCCTCACACCATTTTATGATGGGGGATTTACAGTCAGAATTTCCTGGTGTGGAGCTTTGTGAGTGCTATCAGTATCTTAGATATTAGGGCCAGAATTATGACGTGTGATGTGTAAACATTTCCTCCCTTTTCATCTGTTATCATTTTATTTCAGTGTAGCTGGCCTTGCCATTTATTTTATTTTATTTTTTAAAAAATTTTATTAGTGAATCACCATGAGGTACAGTTGTAGATTTACAAATTTTTGTGCTTGGGTTTCGGTTATACAACGATCGAGTACCCACTCCTCCACCAAAGCCCATTCTCCACCACCACTGATCCCAGTATCCCTCCCATCCCCCATCCCCTCCATCCCTCCCTGCCTCTGTGGCAGGGCATTCCCTTTTGCTCTTTCTCTCCTTTTGGGTGCTGTGGTTTGCAAATAAGCACTGAATGTCATTCATGTTCAGTCTATAGTCTACTTTCAGCATGCATCTCAAATCCTGGGAAGATACTACCAACACCCTTTATTTGGTGCTCCCTTCTCTATCTGAACTGCCTTTCCCCTAGTGTGGGAAGCCAAGAGCCCTCTCATAGACCCTGGCCATGGTTCCCATGTCAGGAACTGCTTGGGACAGACATTGGTGACAGTCTCCCAGGACTTCCTGATCTCAGCAGATACCTTATCTATAGCCATATAACATCAGGCTGACAGTTATCTTATCTGGCCTTATCTATAATAACCTCCAGGATGCATCTACTGCCCTAAGACCCTTTGATATACAAATGTAAAACTCAGGATGCACCTACTTCCATAAGACCCTTTGATGTACAAATGTTTACCTTGAATGTTAGGTAAAGGGCTTGTTGCTGACCTTACCATGTATGGTTATATTGTTTCTGCTCCTGACTGGGCTTCCCCGACCCTATATAAACAGCCTGTAGCCCCCAATAAAGTTCTGTCCCTTTTTCTCTCTTTTTCTAAACTGTACTCTGTCTCTTGAGTCTTGTGTTCATTCGGTCGGTCCTTCCCTGCACCTACGGATCCTAGGGCCACCTTCGCGGGCTGGAGAGTGGTTTTGCGGGCCCTCCGCACCCTAGCATGTGTGGCTGGCCTCCAAGCCATGGAGTAAACATCCTGGTACTTATCTCGGCTATTCTTGGGTGTTATTCTCCTATTTTGTTGACTCTATTTTTCTCAAATGAATGCAATCTTCCTATATCTGTCCCTCTCTTTCTGACTCATTTCACTTAGCATGATATGTTCCATGTAGTACCACTTGTATGTAAATTTCATGATTTCATCTTTTCTAACAGTTACATAGTACTCCATTGTGTACATGTACCAAAGTTTCTTCAACCAGTCATCTGTTCTCGGACACTCAGGTTTTTTTCCAGATTCTGGCTATTGAAAACAGTGCTGCAATGAACAAACATGTGCAGATGTCACTTCAATTATACGTTTTTGCCTTTCTGGGATATATTCTCAGGAGTGGTATTGCTGGGTCAAATGGGAGCTGAATTTCTATTTCTTTGAGAATCATCCATACTGTTTTCCAAAAGGGCTAAACCAGTTGACATTTCCAGCAGCAGTGAAGGAGGGTCCCTTTCTCGCCACATATGCACCAACATCAGTTGATATTTTTCTTTTGGATGGGGGCCAGTCTCTTTGGTGTGAGATGTCATCTCATTGTTATTTTGATCTGCATCTCCCTGATGATTAATGATGTAGACCCTTTTAGCATTTTGGATTTCTTATTTGAGCATGTTTCTGTTCATTTTGTTGCCCCATTTTTTGATGGTGTTGGATGTTTTCTTCTTGTGGAGTTTAACCAGTACTTTGTATATCTTTGATATTAACCCCTTGTCGGATGGGTATTGGTCAAATACCCTTTCCCATTCTGTAGACTCTCTTTGTATTTTGGTCATTGTTTCTTTGGAGATACAGAAGCTTCTTAGTTTAAGATAATCCCATTTGTCTATCTCTGTTCTCACTTGGTTGGCCAGTGGCGTGTCATCTTTGAAGATACCGTTCACTTCAGTGTCATGGGGGGTTTTGCCAACTTTGTCTTCAATGTACGTTATGGATTCAGGTCTGATGTTGAGGTCTTTAATCCATTTTGATCTTACTTTTGTACATGGTGTTAGGC